TTTTTAAAAATAATTTTTAAACACTCCAGGAGGTCTTGGCAATGGCACAACAAGCGAACAAGTTCATAAGATACAATACTAACACTGAAAGAGTTTGCTAGTATTTACAAAACATAAAAGTGCCCAAGTTAATTCCATAGCTGTAACAAGACTCAGTGAGAATATTTGTTTAAAGTATTATTAGCAGTCTTCCAGGGGAAACAATGCTTTGTTGTATATATTTTATCTGTGTTTACAGGAAATTTTATATTGCTGATTTATATCGCAAGCCATTGCAATAAAAGGTAGGGTGGGTTAGAAATTCAGTAAATCAATAAAGCATAGACTTCATTCACAGAGTGTGAACTTCAACAGTACTATTCCATGTATGTTTACTTACAAATCTGTTCCAAGAAGAGTTTAGGCTTCTCAAGAACAGAGAGGGCAGGCCTTCTTAAAGTTAACAAGCCCTTGCTAAAAAGAGTTGCTCTTTTCCTTCAATTTAAGTGTGTCAAGAAGTAGGACAGAAATTTATGCATCTTGATTCTCCACCTCCACCTGGACGTTACTCCAAGGGGCTGAGTACTTTCTCAAACAAATGATTGGCTGAAAGTGCTGAAAACCAATGGAATAACTCTAGACGTTTTTGCTGGAGCTCTTTAAAACATGTCATTTATTGCTATCAACCAGCTTTGCAATTCAACATTTAAAGCATCAAAAATGTTACTAAAATTCTGCAAACATGAGCTTTACAAATATGTGATGCATAGATAAATCTCTTAAGCAGAATCAGGGGAGGGAACACTCCACAGTTTCCGGGGGAAAGAGAATCACTGCCTTCTGTAGTTCTTTTGCCAAACCCCATAATGAAAAGAAGTAGAATAAAAAGTTATACAAAATAAGCAAATATTCACAGAATTCAGCATTTGGCTTTGTTTTTCTTCCTAAGGCAGAACAAACAAAACCCAGCCTAGAAGCTGGGAAAGTTATCTTTGTTTCATTTAAGGCCTGGTCTGAGTTAATGCTTTGCACCTTTGGTATGGCTCTGGGTGGGACCAAATCCCACACGTGCAAAAACATCATATTGGAATGTATACTTCAAAGAAGTTGCTCAGTAACAATCTTCTAAAGGTAAACCTGGATTATTCCCAGTCATCTGGTCACCTCTAAACAATGGCTAAAGCAATCCAAGAGGACCTAGAAGAATAAGGTTCAAATCTCCTATTCAAAGATAATGCCTCCAGAAAGTTCCTATTTCAAAACCAAAATGCAAAAGGTGATAATATATTGAAGTCTACAATGACAGGACAGAAAAGTAAGCTCCCCTCCAAAAAATAATCTGGCCAGAACATGGCATCTATGCAATTAACAAGGCTTATTCCTAAATCCCATCTCATAAATACAAAACCACTAGTGGTGCCTATCACTTTAAAAAATGGGAAGAACTTTAAAATAGAAAACACACATTCCAATTTACACAGTTTTTCCTTCATCTTCAATTTCAGCTTAGATTTAAAGTGGCATCTTAATCCTATATGGACCAGGCTGTTGTTGAAAAATCTCGGCAAAAATTCAACAGCCCCAGGATGAACAGAAGATAATCCAAATATACTTCTTGACTTACAAAAAGCAGGAATATCACGGTCGTTTGTAGTTGATGTAGTTGAGGATTTTCCTTGTCTATTCAAGTGTAATTCAGTTTTAAGTATAAAGATTTACAACATGTAGCCACATTATAAGACCACACAGTTCAGAAAAATCAGCTGATGTCCATTTTAAAATGTCATGACCTTCAGCAAGACCCCGAACTTTTCCCTACCTGAGATTTCTAGAAACCACACTACAATGAACTCAACCACAAATCCAAAGAATTTCAATCACATACAACTATACTAGGGAAAAGCAGGATCATGTGACACCTTCAAAACCAATACATTTTGTGGGCTAGACACCACTTTGTCAAAGAGAGTTAGGGGAAATTTTTAGAACTTCTCCAGCTCATGCTCCAGTTATCACACTAGTCTTCAAGGTATCACAGGATTCTTTGCTGGTACTGCTATATCATCTGGGCAGTAGCTGTGGGCCCATATTGGAGCTGTATTTCATATAAATGCCCTCCATACACTGCAGTAATTATAACTATTTTATCAAGTAACTATGTAAGATTTAACACCATCCTTGATTTAACACTATCACTCCAATTGCTGCTACAATGCAGTTAGTACATACTGAATGTCATCTACAGTGTGCCTTAGGTGTGTATTTTCAATGGTGCACATTTACATTGAAAGAAAGCAGTACAGGTTTAGACAGGCAATTTTTAAAAAAGTTTAGCGAATAAGGTTGGCTGAAGTAAAGCTCAGCAAGTCATCATATTTGACTTAAAACAATCAAAAGATCAACAGTGTGCAGATCTGTAAAGTTTTCTTCCAGCCAAGTTTAAACATACAACATTATATATATTCCATAACAACTGTATTCCAAACTTATATATGGCTGTGAAACACAGTGGTAAATAATGCTTGAGATATGACATAATTATTGCAGTGGTAAAGAAATTATACCCCAGAGACTGACAACTCAATTATAATGACATCAACCAGAATAAAAAATTCACACTGACACAGTATTCATGATTAATATAAAAATCAGAGTGCATTCACTGAGTTTCTGTCTCCCTCCATACTCTCACAGAAGAGGAATTTAGCCTACATTGCACAGGTTTATATAAAATAAACAGAAGTGAACAGCAACTTAACAAGTGTAGAATTCTATTCAAAAACTTGAAGTGAAGATAGAAATGTTAATACTTTCACTGCCAATCTCTTTTCTGATAAACATACAATTCTTTGGCATGAGTATTTTCAGGTTATTTGGATACTGAAGTTTCTGAATATCTTATTTTGATTTTTCAAAGTGGCCCACACTTTGTAATATTTGGATATGCAAAACATGTACATCCACATTTAGTCTGATCTGCAGTGTGGTGTCCAAATAAAGTGATTTGGTCCAAGTTCTCTTCCTCAGGATGTCTGTATGTTTAACACTGGATTTAAATACACCTTATTCTGTTAAGTTAACACTGACATTTCTCAAGTTACAACGTATGTTAAACTGCTTTACCATCTTTAAGTAGAATACCATATTCAATTTATGTATTCTTTCAACTCAACTAGCTCCTCGCTAAAAGCTTTTAGCCTCAAGTAGGCACCAGCTATTGGAACCACATAATGCAATATGGAAGAATTAGTTTTCCAGATACAATTTTAAACGTTTGAAAAAAGTAAATCTAAGTTTTGACAGGCCAATATGGCTACAGTCAGGTTTTATTACTAGAACCTTTTTACAGGTAATTGCTAATACTCTCCACTGTCTAAGGATATTATCAGGTTTCATTTCATTGCACTGCATTCCACAGGCTGCAGACCAAAGCACCCTTACTTCCAAGTAAATACACTAGTCAAAGGAAAATAATTCAGTGTGAAGGTAATTATGAGAATCTAAGTGCTAACATTAACAATATCAAAGCAACCACAGATTCATTTATCTACATTTTAATATATTAACCTCAAGTTGTTCACATGGGTCCCAATCCAGAAAACAACATTAATTTGGGATTTTTAATAGTAAGATGAGACTCACAGAACTGTTTTAAAAGATAACAAGGGCCCACTGTGCAGCAACCCAATGGGAGACATTTGGCCTACATCTGCAAACCATTTGCCATTTTTTCCCTCAAAAAGTCATCTTAGCTTTCTTCACTACAGAGTGCAGCTATTAATTCCTTAAAAACATAAGGAAGTGGGTCAAATAAGAAATAAGATTATTCTTTGTCTCAAAGAGGCAAACAGCAACCTTTTATTCAGAGCCCCTCCAACTTTCACCACTGAATTAGAGGTGAAACATGAGATATGCAATCTCACACAGAGCTGGGGAGAAAATGTCTAAGAACTAGTTCTGAGTATCTGTAGGAAAACAGTCCATTTTTAAAGTTCATATCTTGAATACTGATGGCGGTGTTCTATCACACAACCTCAAGACAACATAGCAGCTGTTTATACAGTGTCTAGTATACGATAACCAACATACAATTACATGAGGGTCTGCATTACCTGAGTACCACTCATTTTGCAATTCCTAACTATGTATCTTCTGCATAAAATTCCCAGGACTCCTGATTATTTACAATAGGGAGAGACCTAAACATGGACTTGAATCATGCAGGGAAAGAGAAACTATAAATTATTTCATAGTTTATGACAAGTTCCGTTGCTTCACAGGTGTGAAAGGAACAAACGAACAAACACAAAGAATTATGACACTCTTTAATCTGTCAACCACCTTGAAAATCCTCAACAGATCCACTAACCTGATAATTAGGCTCTTTAGTGCTGACAAATCTTCCAAGGTGCAGGTAGCTCTTACAGAACTTGCAAAATAGTTGAATTTCATAGGGTTTATGCATCTATTTCCCACAACTGCACAATATTCTCAGTGAAAACACTGGCAACAATTTCAATTTTTAAAGCATCACAAGTTCAAAGACTGGGATCCATGAAAGTGGATCTGTTTAAGAAAGAACACAGGCCCCACCAGTTGCATGGCAAAGTTCTCACAAAAGCCCACACAGACACACAAACACGCTGAAAACTTAATGATCAGGCTGCGATGCTTTTCCTTTAAAAGGCTGAACATCACATTCTGGGGAATAACTTTAACTGCAAAGGGAATGAGCAACCTCTATTCCCTCTGGGATCTCTCACAAGGATATGAGAACTCTCTACCCCCAAAGGGATCTCAGTTAGTTGCTCAGCAACTAGCTACAACTAGATCTCTCAATGAAGGGAGAACTGAACCTTACATTAATCACTGCAAAGAATAAGGGAGGCAGAGATTGCCTTAAAGAAAGTCAGCACACAAGCCTGGATATTGCACTGATATGTACACAGAGACTGAAAGCAGTACATCTCTCGTCAGAAAGAGGAAGGCACATTCTGACGTTACAGATATGAAAGACTTACAGATAAACTGCCCAGGTGGGCAGCCCCTCAGGAACTTTCTCAAGCCCCCGGCCGCTGCAGTCCAGAAGATCGCCACTACAGGTACAGTTGGAGTCGCAGGGCTGCCGCTCGAAACACGACCCGAATCCCACGCACGTTTGGAAAATCAGGAGCCAACTCCAAAAGGCATCTGAAAGCAGCAAGGACCCCAACTTTCCCCATCCCGGCAGCGCCATTTTGTATCCTGGATGAGAAGTGGGGAGCAAAAGTACACTCAGAGTTGGCGGTACCCCACGGAACTGCCTTTCTTCCAGAGTCAAAGCGAGCGCGAGGCTGCTTTCTTTTTCTCTCTTTCCTCACCCCAGTCCAGCTCCCCTGGCACTGTCCCGAGGCCTCCAGCGGCACTTCGCTACACCATGGCAGCTCCGCCGAGGCTGCGGCAGCTCCTTGGGCTTCTCAGGGGCCGCTCGCGAGTGCGCGGCGCAGCGGCGCTTGCTGCGGGGCACAGCGGGAAAGCAGCCCAAAGCTGGCTCATTCAGAGACCCGGACTCAAGAGCAACGAAGAAGGAGGCAGGCAGGCAGGCAGGCTGAAGCCTCTGCAGCTCTTGGCACCGGCGCTTGCTCAGGAGTCCTCCTCCTCCTCCTCCCCAGTGAGCACAGCTCGCATAATAAACAAGGGTCTGGATCCGGGAAAAAGTCCAGTGTCGTCTTCCAAAGAAGATCGCCTTGCTGCTCTTTCTGCCGCCACGGCCCGGCCACAGCCCCAGGAAGGCTCCGGGTCCACAGAAAGTTCCTCCACCTTTTTCCTCTTCCTTCTCCTCAGCAGTGGCGTTTGTCTCGTCCCCGTTACAAGAGCAGGGCTGGGAGGTCTCAGCGTTGCAAGGGTCAGGCCGTCGGCAGGGATTGCATCGCGGCGGCGGCGGCCGCCTCCTACTCGAGCGAAGCCCCGACTTCTGGTCCTCTCCTCCTCCCAGGCTCAGACACCTTTCCCAGCACGGGCAAAGCAGGCGCTTTATCTCCGCCTCCGCAACTTTCTCCTCTTCTCGCTTTCCCTGCTGGCCCCCTCCAACGCCTCCCACTCCCGCCTACCCTACTCAGCCCTAGCGCCCAGATCGAGCGTTGCCAGCCAAACCGATTAGCGCGATCCTCTCGGGGCGCCCCCACAGCCAGCCACCGTCTCCCACCCCCCCCTCCGCTTCCCTGTCCGCAAAACCACTTTCCAGCCCCCCAAGCGTCGCTTTCCCAACTCAAACCCACGTTGGACACAGTGCAACATGTTCCATCCTCCTCCCGCCCCCCTTCTCCGGTCCACCTTTCGTTCCCCATTGGCTGCTCCGCCTTCCACGGCTTGCCCGCGCGCCTATCGATTGGTCGGCTGGCCCTCCCTCGTTGGGATACACAACGTTCCATTGAGGTTGACGATCCGTCAATCAGAGGCGAGAGGTTCCGCCTCCCTTTCCCACCCAAGGTGTGAAAGCGGGAGACTCCCAGTTCAACGACCGCGTCTTAAAGGGGAAGTGCATACGGCCAGAGGAAGGTGCTTTCTCACGCCTTGACCTGGTAGCCGAGATCCTGCCCCTTCACTGCAGCGATTGTCTGCGAGGGAAATGAAGACTACGCATCATCTTCACTGGGAGTATTACTTATGTGTAAAATCTGGAGCAGCAATTATAATGGGAGATTTTCAAAGCCAATAAAACGAAGAGACTGTGCAAAGACGCAGCAATACTAAGAACTAACCAGAAATTGTTCCACAACACAAGCCAGTATGAGGAGAAGGGATCTGTGGGTACCATAGTAAAGCCTGCAGAGCCCATTATCCACAAAACATACCCCAGAATACATCTTTTAGTCTTTAACGTGCCACAAAACTCCTGCTTGTATTGTCAATGGAGCTGGCAAGAGTGACTGTAGCCATTTGTCTTCCCCAACACATTCTCAGCTGCTGCTTTCCTTTCCCCCTCCACTCCTGTGAGAAGCAGGAGTTGTAGGTGGGGGGCTGATGGGTCATCCGTGTTTTTCTGGGTTAGTTAGGAAATATCTCTCAACTTAATTCCTGCAGTTAAAAAAATGAAAGTGGCTTACACAACCGTTTAACACATGACTTTAAAAAGTGGACAAAGGTGTATGTATCACATAACCCATGCAAGTCCAGGAGCTGGCCTTGTTACAGTTTGCTTAAGTATACCAGGATGCAGGGGCCATTTTTGAGCATAAATGGAGCTCCTTCGGAACATCTGCCCCAAACCATTCTTGTGGTAGGAAAAGACTGTATTTCTTAGATCGTCATCCTCCCACAGGGTGACCACTTATGCATTGTCATAAAAATAATATGCATCACCAAAAAATAAAAGCAGGGGTTCAATTTGCAAATGTTACCAGAGATGCAGTGTGTGTGTTGTAACAGAAAGCCATCAGGGATTCCCCGCTGCCCTGGCCACCTGGGCACAATCCTGCCCAGCATCTCCCTGGTCCCAGAACCCTGGACCAGCCACTGGATCCAGCACACAACAGACCCAAGCTTTGGGGGGACAAAGCAAGTTAATTAAAAGGATAACATAGAGGGGTGGAGGGACTAAAACACAGACTCCAAAGGGATAAACAGGGGAAAGGGGAATGGAGAGCAGCCACAAGATAGGTTACAGCCAGCCAGGAAACCCCAACTCCCAGGGCCTTGTTGGTCGACTCAGACAGCAAATGGCAAGCTACTTCTAGCCTGGCCCATACACAGCAATTCTACCTTCTCCCGGCACAGGACACCACAGCACTCTTCAGCGGGGAGAATCAGCAGCAGGCAGATCCTCCCAGAAGAGGAGCAAAAGGCTGCTCTGCTCTATGCGCCCACAACAGCTAGGTCAGCTGACCTGTGGGGTGACGGCCCATCTCCCAGTCCCTGGGGCCAGCCAGTTGCGCCAGGTGTTGGTCCTCAGCTGGCCATCGCTGTTCTCTCCAGCACCCTTGAAGCCATAACTGTGATTGCTCTCATCCACAGGACACGAAGGCCCAAGAACCATGGGTGCCAGATTCCACAGTTAATACCACAGGCTGACTGTACACCTCTCTTAATTTAAGAGCAAATGACTGGTGTAAGGTCACCCAGTAAGTTTCATGGCTAAATAATCCGAACCCAGGTCCAATTCTCTAATCATTAGATAACCCTGAGACTGGATTTCTTGAAGAAATAGGTTCTTGCTCTCACTCCCATGCATGCACACATGTACACACACACTTTGGATTGCATCTTGAGAAGTTTGCATGCCAGGATCTAAAACCCAAAAGTTACTGTGGCATATTCTGTAAACAAGGCAGAGGTAAACAAACAAGTCCATGGTTTAAATTTAACCTCAGTAAAAATCTTACTAGGTGGCCTTTGGCAAACCAATTTCTCAACACCCACACACAGAGAGAGCCTAATGGGCAACATGGAAGTAACAACAGACTACTTTATAGGGTTGTTGTAAGAACTACAAAGATAATGCCAATGGACCATTCTGAACACTTCAAAGTGCTATCAAACTATTTTAATATGAAAAACTAAATATATTAGAATTGCATATATTAGTTTAAAACTAAATCAGCAAAGAAGAATAAGACAGCAGATTAAAAGTGATGTGGTGTTAAAAGTTCTGGATTTTTCAGGTAAGATCTCATGGCAAATGTAGAAAGAATAAAGCTGTTTGCTCTGAAAAGAATAGGCGAATCTGCAGTCAAACTTTTAGAAAATCCCTGAGGGACTTTTATGGACTGGGGGGCCACCACTGGGAAGGCCCCATGCCTAGTTAAGGGCAATCTGTACTCCTAGATCTATACTCCCAAATGGATCAAGCTTGATGAAAAGATCTTAATGTTGGGGTGGCAGCTTTTTACTGTATGTTTTAGAAGCAGCCCTCTTAACACTCAGCCATTTAAATCAATAGAAAAATGAGTCGCATTCAGGGAGATCTGCATTAGGCATATGTACTGTCAAAGGAGAAGAAAACACCCCTTGTGTTTTCCAATATGTATTGGGCTCTGTGCCTGACAATATTCATGCATTTGGACACAAACAATAGGCATCAGATCAGCCTTAAGCACCATCTGGAGGGAAGAAAGCTTCCCTTTCATTTCCCAATGCATGTCTGATTCTGACAAGCACTTACGGGCAGGCTGCAACCTTTTACCCATAGAGAGTCCCAATGAATTTTAAATTAAGATCTACAATATATTCACTTCTGAACTGAGGCTACATGAAATGTTGTCATTTGTAGTGGCCCTGTCTCAGTTCTTTTACTATGTTTCAAATATATACTGCCTATTTTTAAATATTGTCCTTAAAGAAGGAAGGTTGCAGGCAGAAAACCTGCAGTTATTTCTGTGCATATGGAGAATAGAAATGCTTGCTTGCTTGCTTGCTTGCTTTTTAGCCTGAAGCTTAAACGTGAGACCTAGGTTAGCTAAGAATGCCATCTTTTCCTTAACAAAACGTCACTATATCCTCAACCACTTTTCTGCCAGAAATTCATCAGGTGCAGCTTTCCATGGTGCAGGGAAAAATGCAGTTGATTGGAACAGCTATAGCAACTGAATTTCTGCCTTACATGCAGTTATCGTAGGCATGCAACCTCTGCCTGGAAGAGTAATGGCAACACTAAGGTCTATTCTCATTTTGTTTGTGTGGCATAGAAATGTTCTCACAACTCAGCCCCATAGTTAAAATCGTCTTTAAATGGATCAGTAGGGGATATAGATTGATAGGTTTGCATCTATGTGTGTCTACAATAATCTTGAGAGACTGGCTGTGCCCCACTACCCACAAGGAGATGTGTTAGCAAGGGCACACTAACATTGCCACATGGGTGGACACAGTACAGATGACCACTTCCTGATATGTTCGGATGATATAGTTATCACTTACTGAATACTAATGCTAAAATATTCTGCAACCTCTACTTGCTGTTATCTTCTTTGGAGACAGACATAAATCTGCAGCCTCTCCACATTAGGTTTTAGATAGGGGTTTGCAATGATGCTGACACTTTCCACATATCTCACAAGCATAATGTGGGAAGAGACCCTGAGCCACTAATCTCAACTGGTGGCCATGGGCTGACCCCAGCTTTCTTCCTGAAGCATGAACATCAGACTTAATAGGCAGGATCCATTATACTATACTACCCATTGCTATTGTACGTATCGCTATTGTATTTATTGGATTTTATTACTCTGTGAGCCATCCAGAAATGTTTTGTACTGGATGGGTTAGAAATATCCTGATATATAAATAAATAAAATACCATGAACCTGATTCCTGACTAACCCTTTTCTTAGACCATGGGGAGACAGTAAAGAAGGAGTTTCATGCAGCCTTTCAGAAATAGCTTCAGATAATTACAACAAATGCAGCTGAGCTGCCCCTTATGGCACTACTTGGTATCCCCCAGATGTGTTGGACAATAGTCCTATTTATTTGTTTATTTATTTATTTATATGCTGCCCTGAGCTATGTGGGCTGGGGATGATGGTGGTTGTACCCTAACATATCAGGAAGGCATCGAGTTGGGAAGGGCTGTTCTAAACTTTGCAGCTTCATTTCAGGGGTCCACCAGAAGAGTGCTAGCTGCTAAGTTCCATTGCAAAGAAGCTAACTCTGAGGGCTAGATCATGGGCAAAACTGAGCAACAAGCCAAACCAAGAATAAATCAGAACTGAAAGCAAGCCAGAAGAGAGAGTCAAAGAACAAGTCAGAAACCAGGACCAACAAAGGGCATCCAAGGATACAGGGACACTCCAGACCATAAAACAACCTTCTCAAACTGGTGCTCTCCAACATGTTTTGAACCACAACTCCGCACATTCCTGAACATTGCTCATGCAGGCTGGGGGGGGGGGGTGGCCTAGAACGCTGAAGTCTAAAACATCTGGAGGACACCAGATTGGGGAAGACTGGCATAAGGAGTCCTTGTTTCTGAAACAAAGCTGAACTAGTACAG